CACACACACACACACACACACACACACACACACACACACACACACACACACACAAACTATTTGCCAAGAACATCCCCACTCACAAACAAGCTCCACTTGGGCTCCCATACTCCCTGAGAGAGGGCTGTGGGTAGAGCTTGGACAAGGGCTAAGGACCAACAAGGACTGGGTCCATGCTGGGCATCTCTAGGTAGGACAGGAGGATCTGGGGTGGGCATCTCTAGGTAGGACAGGAGGATCTGGGGTCCCTCAGAGCAGGCCTTTAAGAGCTTCAGAACACGTCTCTATCCTAGTGGACACAGCATTCCTGTGGTAGTTTGGATGAGGTGTTGCCCAGTCTCAGGTATTTGAACTTGGTCCCCAGTAGGTGGCACTGTTTGGGGACGGATGGACCTTTAGGAGGTGGAGACTTGCTGGAGCAAGTGTGTCACTGAGTGTGAGTTATGAGAGTTGATAACCTCACCCTACTTCCTCTGTGTGTGTGAGATGTGATCTCCTCCCAGCTTCCTGCTCTGGCTGCCTGTGGTCATGCCTGCCATCATGGACTCTTCCTCTGGAACCATAAGCCAGAATAGACTCTTCCTTCCATAAGTAGCTTTCAGTCATGGTTCCTTCAGTAGTATTCAAGGAATAATTGCTGTGATAAAAGCAAGCCTGTCACTTGCCTAATTTGATCACAACAAAACACAAGGGAATAATATAACACCCGAAGTTCTTCTCACACCAACATGGCAGACAAGCCAAGAGGGATGTCATCTAAAGTCAAGCAATTTGCACAGACACCCAGACGGGAAACAAGCTCCCACACACTGTGAAGGGTCCCAGCTGCTAATTAAAGAGAAATGTGTGGGGCGTCTTCCTAAGGCAGCCTAGAAAGGAAAGATCTGACGGAGAAAGTTAAACAGCTTACTCCAAACCCCAGGAAGAAGTATCCAATCTTATCACGTCTGTTCCTCAGACCACTGTCTCCCCCAGAGAGGTGTAAATGGAGGTGAAACCAATGGGGCCCTGTGAAGTCCCATGTGACCCCTGGCCATCAGGACACTGCCCAGAGCAAAGTGGAGGCCTTTCCTAAAGACTGCAGGGGTGGGAGGGTCACGGGACACCGAGAGCAGGAGGGATGTGACAGCAGGGAAGCCAATGTCACCCTGGTCTGTGCAATACGGGACTCCAAGTGCCCTGCCAGCTTCCACACACCCCTCCTCATGTGGCCAAGGGCCTTGGTGTATCCCAGGTCCTGCTGAGGAGCGGAGTCAGGAGCATGACAGCACCGCTGCCCACGTCCAGGTCTGACTCAGTGTCTGGCTTTTCAGGCTATTAAAAGATCAAGTGGTCGAAATTTACAACTTTTAAGTATTTATATAGAGTGTGTACCTTCCAGCTGTATTTCCATGCCTGGTCCACAAGGCTGAGCTGTGGGCCTGAATGGGCCACTTGAAGTTGGAAAGTATCTCCACTGCACCACAAAAGACTGTCCCACCCAGGTGGGAGGTGAGGGGTCCCCACGTGTCCTGCCCTGGGATAAGACAGCTTCACATTCACCGTGACACTGTAGCAGCAGGCAGGTACTCAGGAAGGTACTCCAGGGGAGCAGTTTTGCTTGGCACCTTCCAACAGGCTTTTGCCTGCCCTTTCAACAGTCCAATGGGCACATGGAGGGAAGGGGCACTAGGTGCTGTGACAGGAAACATCAGCACTGTGGTCAGGACAGCAGCTTCTCGAGAGAAGTCCCAGTCAGAAGATCTGAATGGCTTCAAGGTTCCTAGCACGCTGGGTCAAAGTCAGGAAGGACTCAGAAAGTGCCAGCAATGGGGCCTGAGAGATGGCTCAGTGGACACCCAGTGGGAGGGAGAAGGTTGTCTTCGGACTGTCAACTCATATGCACTGACACACATGGACACTCACTCACTCCTGCACAATAATAATCAATCCCAGGTTTTAAATTGCCAGTAACGTACAGTGAGACTTACTGGAGCGCGCCAGCTACCGTCACATTGTGAACAATGCCTGGTAACACCAACGACAGATAATATCACGACACATCCAATCAGCATTTTTTTTATTAAAAATGAGAAGCGACATCCTCAAGTGCCTGCTATTTCTACTTCTTCCTCTGCCCACTGCCCTGGGGAGGAACTTCCTCACACTTCCCGACAGCTCCCACCCTCGTCTCTGACTCTCGTGATGTCCCCTTGGTCTCTCATCACGGCACTCATTAACCTCTGCCTTCTAACTGGACATGCCAGCAATAGCAACTGCAATGTTGAAAAACCACCCACGCTTATACGCAGGGAGTGCTTTGTGTCTAAAACACACAGAAGAGAAAATTCAAACAAGGAAAAGACTTATAAAACGTCACCCGGAAGTCCGCCCCTTGGAGGCAACTCACTGTCAGACCTTTCTGATGCACAGGACTCAACACGGACAGCAGCTGTGTTCTCCGACCACACAATCTGCTGCAGACATCTTTCTGAATCAGTGTGGGAAGGTCTAGAACTGTACCAGACTCTTACTGGCTGTGCACTGTGGTGATATTTTATTTGTGCTTGATAAATAAAGCTTGCCTGGAGATCAGGGGGGAAAGGCCAGTCATTTTAAGTAAACAAAGTCAGGCAGCACATGCCCTTAGTCCCGATCACTTAGCAGGCAGGGTCTCTGTGAGTTCAAGGCCATACTAGGGAACAGTGTGGTGACACATGCCTTCAATTCCAGTACCAACCATAGAGACCTGGAGGTCTGTACAGACAGGCAGTGACAAGGAAGGGAGGTAGCTGGGCTAAGAGCCAATGAGAGGGCAGAACCATAGAGACCTGGAGGTCTGTACAGACAGGCAGTGACAAGGAAGTGAGGTAGCTGGGCTAAGAGCCAATGAGAGGGCAGAACAAAGGCGTGGGTAGACAGGAAGTAGCTCACATTTGGAAGCTGCAGAGCTGGAGAGGTAAGGTTGGCTGGTGGCTTTTCCTATTTCCCTGATCTAAGGCTTTCACCCCTATATTTGGCTCCGTGTTTTTTATTTAATAAGACCATTTAGAAGTTCATCTACAGTGCACTGCGCCAGCATCTAGTACACCAATAACGGACTTAATTCCCTTACTGAGACTACATCTACAAGTGTTCTCTAGCTAACTCCAGGAGTCTGCTTCTGCCTCCCTCCCTCAGTGCTGGGAATCAAACCCAGGGCCTTGCACACATGGAGCATGCGCTCAACGACCGAGCTGTCCCTGCAGTCCCGTGTCTGTGATTCTCAGGACTCACTGCTGGTGGGAACCCTTCAGGCACTGGACAAGGGGCGCACAGATGCACCACTGCTGTGCGGTGGACATGGGCACCACCACAGCTGGCCCCACACCTCACCTTCTAAAATAACCTTTGCTGTTATATAGACGTTCTGGTTGATTTTCTTTAAAACATGTTTGGAGGCTACTGCAGGAGGATCATGAGTTTGAAGGCAGCCTAGGCTATGCAGCAATATCTTGTCTCAAAAAAAAAAAAAGTTTTTGCCCATGGTTAAAAGATAACATTCTGAATAACTTGGAAGTGCAGTTGAAATACAAAAATAAGAATTTTATAGATTTGCTTTAAAAATAGTCTTGAAGTCACATTTGCATATGAAGCTTAAGTTTAGAGAACATAACTTCAAGGAAACTCACCAGATACTTAAGACTGTCTCGTTCCTTGGTGACATTCTCTGCCAAGCCCACCAGGTGTGCCAGGTACTGATGAGCAGACATCTCCTTCCCCATGGCCTTTTCCACCTGCTTTCTGAGGACATCAATTTTCTTTTGGTATTGCCTGCAGAGATCCCCAGTGGGGAAAACATGAGCCTGTGTAACTTGGGCAGGGTGAATATATGTACACAAATATATGTTTAGAAACCAGTATGTGGCTGGGTGGTGGTGGCGCACACCTTTAATCCCAGCACTCGGGAGGCAGAGCCAGGCAGATCTCTGTGAGTTCGAGGCCAGCCTGGTCTATAAAGCAAGATCTAGTACAGAAACCAAAACTACACAGAGAAACCCTGTCTTGAAAAAAACAAAAAAACAAAACAAAAACCCTGTATGTGTGTATATATGTACATGTACATTCACACACACACACACACACACACACACACACACACACACACACACACACACACAATTTTAGTGTTTTTGAGACAGTCTCCCTACATAGTCCTGGCTATCCTGAAACCCACTGTGTAGACCAGATTAGTCTCAGACTCACATAGATCCACCTGTCTCTACTTCCTGAATGCTGGGATTAAAGGCATATGCCTCGACACTTGGCTACCAGTTAATATTTAAAAACTACACTCAGGGCCAGGGTGAGGATTAGTGATAGAGTGCTTGGCTAGTATTTACAAGGCCCTGGATCCCAACCCCTAACCCCACAGAATTAATTAATTAATACTGTCCACCAGTACACATCTTCTTTTCAGTTTCGAGAAGTAAATGAATCTAACTTGAAGCCAGGTGTCCAGTTAACAAGACTCAAAGGTCAACTGTGTGGCATGCTCTCATGCCCACACTTGGAGGCTGCTCCAGGGAGCCTGCTAGAGTTCCAGGCCAGCCTGCCCTACAGTGTGGGCCCTGTCACAAACAAACATACAAAAAGAACAGCACTCATAAAATGCCTAGCAATAAATCAGCTAATTAAATATTATTCTCCTAACTTTTTGGTTTTTTTTGGTTTTCCGAGACAGGGTTTCTCTGTGTAGCTTTGCACCTTTCCTGGAACTCACTCTGTAGACCAGGCTGGCCTCGAACTCACTGAGATCCGCCTGCCTCTGCCTCCCAAGTGCTGGGATTACAGGCATGTGCCACCACCGCCCGACTTATTCTCCTAACTTTTTGACTTGTATTTAAAAGATATTTTTGAAAATGGGATCCCACATGAAGGCAAGAAGGGGATGTACTGGTGTGTGTGTGCGTGTGTGTGTGTGTGTGTGTGTGTGTGTGTGTGGTTTGTAGGTGTGTGGTATGTGTATGTGCTGGTGCATGTGCAGGTGTATGTGTGTACAGGTGTGTGGTGTGTTTGTATGTGTGTGTGTGTGTGTGGTTTGTAGGTGTGTGGTATGTGTATGTGCTGGTGCATGTGCAGGTGTATGTGTGTACAGGTGTGTGGTGTGTTTGTGTGTGTGTGTGTGTGTGTGTGTGTGTGTGTGTGTGTGATTGTGTGGTATGTGTGGTTTGTGGGTGTGTGGTATGTGTATGTGCTGGTGTATGTGTGTGCAGGTGTGTGTGGTGTGTGTATGTGTGGAATGTGTATGTGCCGGTATATGTGCAGGTGTGTGTGTGCAGGTGTGTGGTGCGTGGTGTGTGGTGTGTGTGTGTGTGTGTGATTGTGTGGTATGTGTATGTGCCGATGTGTGTGCAGGTGTATGTGTGTGCAGGTGTGTGGTGTGTGTAGGTGTGTGTATGTGTTTTGTGTGTATGTTTGGGTGTTGTGTGTATGTGTATAGGTAAGGAAGGGAGGAGTTGATCAAGATCCAATGTACACATAAATGCATAAGTCAAAGAATAAAAGATAATCCAAAAACAATAAATAAATGTATAAGTATTAAAAACTGAAAAAGAAAAACTGGGATGTAGTAATGGAAAAACAGGCTTTGAGGGGGTAGTTAGGAGACCGTCTAGAGCCCAGGGTTGCCATGTGGTTATCAATATCTGAACCACAGACTTATGAACTATAGATCAACAGAAAAGCTTGTTACACTTCTATTCCGGTACTGTCCCTTTGGTTTATTTTCCATTTTATTGTCCTTATCAGAGAAAGGGAATAAAATGAAGATAACAAGGAAATGAGATGCGTATTTGCACGCGCGCGCACACACACACACCCACACCCACACACACACACCTACCTGTTTGTCTTGCGCATGCGCTCTAGCTCAGCCTCGAGTGCTCTGTTTCTGCTGACCCAGCTGCTTTTCTGCAGAAGCAGGCTCTTCTTCTGCACCTGTAGGGCTGTCAGCTTTTCCAGCAGCTCCTCCATCTCAGCACTGTCTTTCTCTTCTTCCTTTCGCAACTGGCTGAAGGACAAGAAACAGCAGACATGTATGGATAGTGACACACACACAGCACAGTGCACCCTGGGTACAGCGCACCCTGTGTATAATGCACCCTGGGTACAGCGCACCCTGTGTATAATGCACCCTGGGTACAGCACACCCTGGGTACAGTGCACCCTGTGTACAGCACACCCTGGGTACATTGCACCCTGGGTACAGTGCACCATGAGTACAGTGCATTGTGGTATATGTATAGCACATGCTGGGTACAGTGTAGTCATGTAAAATCAAGTGGAACTAAAAGGAAGCAGATGGCCGGCAGCCAGATTCTAAGCCCTAGTGAACACCCAAAAAAACAAAACAAAAGTTGAACAACTGTCAGCTCCACATTTCACATGGAGAGCTCAACCAAAAGCTGAACAACCTCTGTCTGCTCTCCGTCTCACACAGAGGGCTCAGGCAAGCTTCTGCTTTCAGAGAACGCTCTCACCTTTTTAGTTCATTGACAATCGACGTATGAACGTCTACGGCGATCTTGCTGTCCAGCTGTGTATTGAGTTCCTGGCATCTGGCCTGTAAGCTCCCCAGCTGCTCCTTGCTCTCCACCAGCTGCTGCTCCTGGCTCTGGGTCTTGGCCTCCAGGAGCACAAGCTGTTTAGTCAGCTTAGAAACTGGAAGGGAACAAGATCAAGACTTGGCACAGAAGACTTGATGAAAACATGAGTGTTGGCCAGGCGTGGTGATACACTCGGGGGTCTGAGGCAGGAGGATCATGAGCTCTGGCTAGAATAGGCCACACAGGGAGATCCTATCTCAAAAATTTATCTTTAAAAAAGAAGAGAGGTAGGTGGGTGGTGGTGGCACTTGAGAGGCAGAGGCAGGTGGATCTCTGTGAGTTCAAGGACAGCCTGGTCTACAAAGAGAGTTCCAGGCCAGCCAGGGCTACACAGAGAAACCCTGTCTCAAAAAAACAAAAACCAACCAAACAAAAGGAAGGTAGGGATGTAGCTCAATGGCTTGCTGTTTGCCTAGCTTGCAAAGGCCCTCGTCTGATTACTGAAAAAATCAGTCAGCTACAAAAATGACCTTTTAGGGCTGCAGAGTGCTTGTTTCACATGCCTGAAGCCTCGGGTTCAATCCCCAGCACCGCACACAAGAAAAAATAGAGCAGACTTGGTGGAACTCGCCTGTTACCCAGCAACTCGGAGGCAGAGGCAGTTGTTCTGTGAGCAGGGACAGAGGAAACAGGGAGGCTCACAGCAATCAGAAGAGACAGCCTGTTTCAGACTCTTGTCCCGTGACTCCAATCTTCAAGGAGAACTGGCGGGGGGGGGGGGGAGATATTCTGGGGGCTCCTACTTTGTTTTAATCAAAGCAAGAGGAAAACTCTCAACTTGGCTCACTTTGGAGAGCACTGCTTTCTGCTATGGCTCTAGGAACAGGGAGGGACCCATGGGAGAAGGGAACCTCATGGGAAGCCCTGGAGAACCAGAGGTTTAACCTACGATGTCCTCAGCCCCGACAGAAGAAAGAACCGAGGCTCAGCCAGAAGTGCTGGTACACACCAGTTACCCTTGCACAGGTAGAATAGGGAGGACTATGATTTCATGGCGCCCTGGACTCTCTGGCAGTTCTGGGCCAGCCTGGACTACACAGCAGACCCTTTCTCAAAACCCTAGGGTTAGGGATGTGTGGTGATCTGATTACAAATGGCTTCCATAGCCTCCTGTATTTGAATGCTTAGTCACCAGGGAGTGGCACTGTTTGAAAGGATTAGAAGGATTAGGAGGCGTGGCCTTGTTGGAGGAGGTGTGCCATTGCAGGTGGGCTCTGAGGTTTCAAAAGCCCAAGCCAGGCCCAGACTCTCATGTTCGTTCTCTCTCTCTCTCTCTCTCTCTCTCTCTCTCTCTCTCTCTCTCTGTGCCTGTGAAAGCCCTCAGCTCCTTCTCCTGCACCATGTGTGTTCTACCAAGCTCCCCCCATGATAAGGGACTAAGCTCTGAAACTGTAGCAAGCCTCCAATGAAAGGTTTTCTTTCCGAGACTGCCTGGTCACGGAGGCCCCTCGCAGCAGCAGTGCACTGACTAAGACAGACTGTAACTGGGTGTAAAAGTGCTTCTTGGCATACTGGGGTGGGAGAGGGTGGGAAGGGGGCACAGTAAAGTTCTACTTCTTTGTGCAGTCAAGAAATATTTGAGAACACAGTCTTGGGTTGTTTCAAATGCTTCATTCTAGAACTTCTCCAACTTCCCAGATGCTACCCTACCGTACAGCCTGACTTCACCTGATCCCATGAGGGATCAGAGAGCACACAGGCTGCCGGCAGGGCCAACTGTGGGAATGCAGCTAACACACCAGCTTACAGTTGTGAAAAGGACGATCCCTACCCCGCCCGTCTAATAGGACATCACTATGACTCACCTTCTTGGAGGTGCTCCTGGTGGGTGTCCCTGGCTTTTGTTTGCTGAATCTCCAACTGCTCTATCAACAGCTTGTTCTCATCTAGAACCAGCTCTGCTTGAGCCTGAAGCTGCTTCCTATGATTGATTCAAAAGATTAAACACTGTCCTCAGGTTCTGGGCAAGCACAGACATGTGCCCCAGTGTGGGTCAACACCTGGGCATGTTTTGTGTTGACCACGTTAGTTACAGAGCAGATGCTGCCACGCACAGTGAATGGGAGAGAGAGCAGCAATAATGCCTGATGAAGGATGCACCAGCTACGACAAGAGGTGACGTTCACGTGCACGCAGAGGCAGAGGTCAGAGGACTGCCATGTGCATGACACCCAGGTGAGACAGCCACAAAGTGGCCAGTTGTGTTCCCTACACTGAAGCGTCCGATCCCCACACCCAAATAATTGTTTCGAAACCCACATAACTTTTTTGGATGCTGGGAGGTCCCATTTTATTTTGGGACTCATATAGCAGCTGCTCATGGTAGCTGCACTTACAAGTCCAAGCATTCCTGAGGCGGAAGCAGGAGGGCTGCTTGTAGAAGTAACCGTCTATTCAATAAGAAACACTGAACCAATGCAAAGAAAAAATATCACCATAGCTGCTTGAGTCCAGGACTTGAGGGCAGGCCTAGACAACTTTGTGAGACTTTAATGTCCCAAGAAGTAAAAATAAAATGCCAGAGAGGTGGCTCAGAGGCCAAGAGCACTGGCTGCTCTTCCAGACGACCTGGGTTTGATTCCCAGAACCCACATGGCAGCTCAAAACCATCTGTAACTCTAGTTCCAGAGCATCCCATGCCCTCTTCTGGCCTCCAAGGACACCAGGCACACACATGGTATGTAGACAAGATATCACACATATTAAAAAAAATTTTTTGTAACTCTTTAAAAAACAAATAAACCAACCAACCCAGGTGTGTGCTACAAGCCCAGAATCCCAACACTTGGGAAACCGCAACAGGAGGAGCTCTGTTGGAGGCCAGATTGGACCGGCAGTGAGATGGCTTTAAAAAAGTAATGTTGTGTTGTTATCACTTAGAAACCTGATCTTTTCTAACGAGAGACAGAAAAGGAGCGAATTCAGATAGAGAGGGTGGGGAAAAGAAGTGAGTAAATATTAAGAATAAACCGGGGGGGGGGAACCCCAACTTATTAGATGGCTTTGAAATAGTGTCTTAAAACTATACCACACCCCAGCCTTGATTTTTCCATGAGAAAGCCCCCTATTTATGCGATGCATTGTAAATCGCATTTCAGTTCAACTTTCATAACTGAAAATTCCAGCCGGATGGCTGGAGGACCTTAGGTGTTGCCTCAGTAAATGTTACTGCCCACAGTACAGCAGAAAGGAGGAGCCAGCCTAGGGCGACAGTGACTGAGCATGCTGCCCGCACCCCCAGAGTGGTGCTGCCCAAGGGGCGCAAGTCAGCCTCCTCACTGCCCCTCACGCTGCTCCACCTCGGACTTTCCTTCCCGACATTTACTTGTTCCTCCGTCCTTCCTCAGCCCCTTCCACCTTCTACTGTTTTCTGAGACAAGTATCCACATGAAATTCAGGCTGCCCCGAAACCATGATCCCCCTGCCTCGTGCTCCCAGCAGGTGTCACCATGCCATTCTTTTACAGGGTCCTTTCTTCTATTTTTCAAAAGTAGGAAAAACCATCCTGAGTGAGATGACCTAAACCCAGGAAGACGAACATGGATGTATTCACTCACACGCAGATATTAGCTGTTAAGTACATGATAAACTATAAATCACAAAGAGAGGTTAGGCAAAGAGGAAGGCTCTAGTTGGGGATGCACGGATCTCTCTGGGAAGGGGAAATTTTGTGGTGGACTCAGGGAGGGTAAGGATGGGAGCAGGAAGGATGCAGGGTGGAGGAAGAGAATACAGGAGAGACAGCTGGAACTGGGGAGCGCGCGCGCGCGTGTGTGTGTGTGTGTGTGTGTGTGTGTGTGTGTGTGTGTGTGTGTGTAAACCTACTACAATGGAGACTTCTGGAATCTAGGAGGGTGACCCTAGTAAGGACTCCTAGTAATGGAGGATGCGGAATCTGAACTGATTATCTTTTATAGCCAGGCAAGGCCCCCAGTAGTGGGACTGGGTTACATTTGGTTGAGTTGTTGGTGCTGGCCAATCAGGTCCTGTGGAGATCCCTAAACAACCCAGGCGATGCTAGGACAGAAGGTCACTTTCTGGAAACTGACAGGAGGGGACATTGCTGGGGACAACTTCCACACAGCTCACTGAACAGAGAAGTCAAGCTGGTGTGGGCTTGGAGCCTTCACCCCTACATTCTCGTCTCTTTGGTGTCAGAAAGGACTCTGCAGGCTACAGGGAAACCTGGACACCAACCCAGCCACAAAACCCTCCACCTGCAATCTGTCCTGCTTGCAAGATGTGCTGGGGCAATGGTGGTGCAGAACTTATGGCAGTGGCCAACCAATGTTTGGTTTAACTTGAGGCCCACGCCACAAGAGAGATAGCTCATGCCTGATACTGCTTGGATGGCCAAGAACCAGAGACTGGTTAGCCCAGAGAGCTACGGTAGAACCAATCGACCGGAAAAAAACAATCAGTGAAATGGAGGTCTCCATCAGGTCCCTCCTCTCAGAGCTCAGGGAACCCTGCAGAAGAGGGGGAGGAGAGACTGTAGGAGTCAGAGGGGGTGCAGCAGGATCCCAGAACACGGCCCACTGAATTAATTCTGCAGGGCTCACATGGACTCACAGACCCTGAAGCAGCAATCACAGGCCCTGCAGGGGTCTGCACCAGGTCCTCTGCAGATACATTACGGCTGTTAGCTTGGTGTTCTTTGAGACGCCTAACAGGCGGAGCAGGTGTGTCTCTGACTCTTTTGCCTGCTCCTGGGACTCCTTTCCTACAAGGCTGCCTTCCCCAGCCTCAATAGGAGGGCTTGTCTTACTGTATCTTGTTTTGTCCTGTCTGGCTGTCCTCACTTGGAGGCCTGCTCTTTTCTGAAGAGGAAATGGAGGGGGAGTGGATCTGGGGGACAGGGGAGGTGGGGAGGGAGCTGGGAGGAGTGGAGAGAGGAAAAACTGTAGTAGGGTGTATTGTATGAGAGAAGAATCTATTTTTAAAAAGAAAGTTTGAAACTTCAGATTTAACACTTTTCTGATACCTACTAAGCCTGAAGTTCCCCAATCAGGAGAAATTAGGAATGTAGACAGCAGATGTGGTCAAGGACTTCACTGAGAAGGTCCTGGAACAGAATAGAGAGATGCTACACAAGGGTGCAGAGGGCCGTGCGAGGAATAGGGGGCAGCCAAGAGGCAAGGAGAGGCCAGCTCACCTTCCTGAAGAGCCACCCGAGGGAGGAGTTAAAGTGGAGAACACAGCATTGGGGGAAAGGCACGCCCTGGGCGTGGCGGTGGGAGTTCAAGGGGAGTCACAGTGCACCAAGGTCTCCAGCGGCCCAAGCCACCCCAAGGACATGTCAGTGACCGCAAACTCAGAAGAGCCAGCCTGACAGTACAACACATGCCTGGACACTGAAGAGAAACTATTTCATTTTTTTTCCAGTGACATTCAGACATTTAAAACATACTAAACTTGCCTGGACCTTGTAGTATGACCTCTGATTCCCATGAGAGACAGTCTGGGCTGTTCAAGGATAGCCTGTGTAATGGCTAACATTATGTTTTAAGTTTAAATTACTGTGCTTAAGAGAGCTATAAATCAAAAAATGCCTGTAACTGGAATTCCTGGAATTCTGGGGCTGTTGTTCATGCAAGATAACAAGACACATGTTTTCACTTCTGTAAACAAGCTTGGTAGCCCCAACTACACAAGATGTGCTTGATCATACCTAAGTGGGAGGTACATAGGCAGGAAGTACATCAGGATACATGCTTGCCCCGACTGGATGAAGTATGGTGGGAAGTATGTAGGTAGCCTTGTGGGTTTTTCCTTTATAAGCTCCTGACTAATGTAATTCAGCACCATACTCTGGGAATCCCGGGCATGGACCTGGCCAGTGTCCATTATCTTGACCAGGATTTAATAAACCTTGCTTCCAATTTGGCTCAAAAATTGTGGTATTGGTCTTATTCTCAGCTGGTGGGTTTAATACTTGGTGTACATGGAGTTCTAGTCTCAAGAAAGAAAGAAAAAGGATACTAACCACAACACACCCACTAAAAGCTAATCATTTCTGTTTTCAGAGTTTCAGCTGGAAACTATCTCTAGACTTCCGTGGCTGCTGTGTGGGATTCTGGGGTGGAGGTGGGGGTGTCACACAGGGCTGAGAGGAGAAGAAAAGGAGATGGATAAGAGGGCAGGGACAGAGAGGGGTGTGTGTGAGGTGACAGAGAGCAGACGGGGAGGGCAGCACTGGAAACAACAGGAGAGGGCAGGTCTCTGCTGTGGGCAGCCGTGGCCAGGCCTTCCTGTCCACACGCAGCTAAGTGTGCAGCGGTAACAGCCTAGAGGAGCTGCTTCAGACACAGACACAAACGCTCAGGGCCAATGAGCTTCCGGTCTGAGAACCTACTTAGAACATTTAGTTATTCATTTGCTTACTCATCTATTTTTGCTTTTTGCAGTGTTACAGACTGAACCCAGGGCCTTGGCTGGGAATAAAGTGCTCTACCACTGAGCTGTAGGCCCAGGGCCATATTGAAAATGTTTTTCTTGTTTTAGTTTGTTTGTGGATAGGATCTCACTACATAGCCTTGGCTGACCTGGAACTCCCTATGTAGACCAGGTTGGCCTCAAACTCACAGAAATCCTCCTGCCTCTGCCTAAATACTGGGATTAAAGGTTGCACCACCACACCTGGCAAATGATGATGATGATGATGATGATGATGATGATACCAACTTAGAGCTAGGTGTGTGGCACGTGACTGTAGCTGAGCACTCGGAAAGACCGAGGCCTGCAGAGTTCAAGGCTAGTTTAGAGCTACACATTGTGACCTGTCTTCCAAAGCTGAGGGCTAGGGATGAGACTCAGTGGTCGAGCACTTGCCCAGCACAGCCCGAGGCCCCAGGTTCCATCCTCAGCACTTCAAAGAATAAAACCAAACATCTGAAAGTCCAATTTAGAAGAGTTCACTGGGGCTGTATCTTATTCACGTCTTAGAAATTCTTCCTTTTTAAACATTTTATAAACAATTTGAAAACTGCTAAGTTTTTTGCACCCCAATAAGCCTCTCCGCCGACGCAGCAATCCATATCAAACCAAATCAGACCGAATTAGAAAAAGCCCCAGTTTAATAGATAAAGTGATTCTCCAGCTCCCCAGAGAGGAGACAGAAAATCACATGTCTGTTTCTGGGATGCAGCTTAAATACCCTGTGGGAATAGTCCCGAGCCTCTCTGGGGGAGGAGCATGTTTGGCGGGCTTTGAAGGGGTGGGTTTGGGAAAAGAGATGGGGGAGGGATGCATGGATGTCTTTCTGTATGCTGTGAATATGTGTTGCTCTGACTGGTTGATAAATAAAGCCATTTGGCCTATGGCAAGGCAGCTTAGAGGCAGGCAGGAAATCCAAACAGGTAGACAGGAAGAGAAAGGACAGGCAAGGCAGACGCTGCAAGCCGCCACCAGAAGAAGCAAGATGTAAAGGTATTGGTAAGCCACAAGCCACGTGGCAAAGTATAGATTTATAGAAATGGGTTAATTTAAGATATAAGAGCTAGCTAGCAAGAAGCCTGTCATAGACCATACAGTTTGTAATTAATACAAGCTTGAGTGATTATTTTATAAGCGGCTGTGGGGTCTGTGGGGCTGGGCAGGACTGGAGAAAACTTCAACTACAGGAAGGGAGTTGAGGTGGATCTTCCATCAGAATATTCCAGACTCTTTGGGTATAGGATGCCAGGGTGCCAGGGGCTGAGGTGGAGCTCCCACTCACACAAAAACCTCACAAACAAATAAAAACAACCCACACCCAAACTAACCGGACTGTGAATGCATGGAGTGGACATGAATTGGTAAAGAGATACAAAACTAATGGTTTTTCTTGCTCTAATTCTGTCATGGTCTTTTTAGTTTGGGTTGGTGGATACCTGCATAAAATATATTGGATACTGAAAATGTAAATTTCAACATGTAGCTCTAAGCTTCCACCCTGAATGCCTGCTCTAAGTGCACAGAGTTTTACTGAGCTGTGCAGGCTCTGGGTAAAGTGCTTAATTTAGAAAACAAAGTGCATCTATGTATCTGGCGATGCCAGGAAGCCTGTTCCTATTGTGTTGTAAGTTAGCAAACACCACTTGCCATTCCTCGATGGTGACGGGGCTCCTCTGATTTAACTGCTGATGCAAGTCTTCATTTTCTCTCACCACTTCCTGGACTCGCAGCCTAAAGGTTTTCATTTCCTCCTGAAACGAGATGCATGGAAACCGTCACGCGTGCACACATTCGGCAGCGGCTGGGATGCTGTTGTTGGGGAAATCCAATGTAACAGTCACGGTGATGGCAGAGTCCTGCTCTAGCACCAGGCTTAGCCAGTCTCCGGGTTCCAGAGCCCCCACATGCTCAGGAGCCCAGACCTGAGAGAACAGCCAAGTCACTGCAGGGTCGCTGCACACAGGGACAAAGAACGTGGGTTTTAAGTCGTTGGCTTCTAACCTGATGTCACTTTGCTGTAATTGGCAAAATAATTGAAAATTTTAAAGGAGGGAATTAGAAGAAAAACAAAACAAAACAACCAGAGACAGAAAAGTTTGCTTTGTTGAGACTTTAGAGGGTAAATTGGAGTTTTTGTTTTGGTTTGGTTTTTGGTTTTCAAGACAGGGTTTCTCTGTGTAGTCCTGGCTGTCCTGGGACTCGCTCTGTAGGTAAATTGGAGTTTTTACATAAACAGAATTTCGGTCCTAGATGAAAGCCTGCGTGAGCAGGAAAGGGTGCTAGTGTGGAGGTGCCCTAGCCTGGTCCTGCAGAGCACAGGAAGGCCCGGCTCAGAGGCGTCCCCTTGCTCAGCCAGACTCCCCGGCCAGAACACCCTCACTGGCCGCCGGCAGTCTCCACGGCTTTCTTTATATTGTTTAACTGTCTTGACAGACTGAAGTCATCGGGCGGCTGTTTGTTTTGGCTCAATCCCACCCGTCCCTGGCAATGCCTCCCAGGACTGCTGTCAGCTACAAAAGTAGACTGAGCATATGTGGTCAGAGGCTGCATGGCCCACAAAGCCTGCAGTATTTATAAATTGGGTTCTTATAGAAAATGTGGGATGACCCAGACTTAAAAAGGGCACCTAAATGGAAATTTTATTATTACTTTTTTGACCAGTGAACACAAGATAATTGATGCTCTTAAAAATCCAATGTCCGACAGAGGTAGACAGGCCCGGCGGCAGAGACAAGCAGACGCAGGTAGGCCTGCGGCGGGGGCCGGTGGAGGTAGACGGGCCCAGCAGCGGCAGCTGACAGGGATATTCAGACCCAGC